GAATATTCAGATTGACAGTGTCTTACTTACGTAAAAACTACTAAATCAATGTGAATGATACTTTGAGTTGATTTAACTATAATGCTGTAATAATTCCATTGATGTATTTTAACCTAATTCTACGTTTTATTTCAATGGTTGGTTCAAAACAAACTAGCAAAGGATTGGTCTTGCTATCAATGATTTAAATTGAGTCGAAATCTTTCAATATATGTATTTTGTTTGATAAGACGGTTTTGTTAAATGATATAAATATATATGAGCTTTTGGCTGATTGATCATTACATTTATAGAGCTACGTTAAAATATAGATTTTATATTAAGATATAACTAAATGTAAATGTATGTTATTTTTTATTATAATTGATAATAATATTTTATACTCTTTTGAATTCTAACACTATATCGTACCGTCTCTAAATATGATATTAACAATCTAAGTTTATGAATGAAAGACAAGAAATGGTGCATTTTAACGCGTTAAGGGAGTGGATAGTAAAACATAATAAAAGAAAATATATTATAAATATATATAACAGTCTCCAATAAAAGGAGAAATTTTCAAAAAACATAATATTTCTATATTATAAATATGTACAAAAAATAAATAATCTCATACATAACTTATTTAAATTCAAGATTTATAATTATATTTACATAGTAGTACTGTTAGTAGAATTTAGCTGTAGTAGTTTATATTGATTGTTTTCTGATATTCTTTTTTCTTTTGTTATCTTTATTTTTTTTACAATATCTTTCTAATCAATAAGTATTATTATTAAGCAGCTAGACAGTAATCTTCGGCAGTGCTGTGTACCTTTGTCTATAATTGGTACACATATCAGATAAGTGTCAGTTTTAAATGTTTAGTTTTAAGTGTTTAATGTATGTTCTGTTGATGTGCCATTCAAATAAAATAAAATAGTAAGGAATTTAAATATGCAATGATGATCAATTATTATTATTTGTAATAAATATTAATCGTACTTGTTTTAGTAAACAATGTATTGACTCAAAGTACTGATTTAAATGGTATTAATAAAATTATTACTATATATAATTAAATAATATTAATAACTACTTTTTGCCCGCGACTTCGTCCGCGTTAATTTCATCATTAGTAATATATGTATAGCTGACCGGGCGAACTCTATTTCGTCTTAGAGGCCATAAATGATCAGGTTTTTCCTGTTTCAATATTAGTTAGTTGTCAAATCTAATGTTAAAAAAAAGTTTGTATGGGAAATAGAAAAGGGCGTTTTTAGGGTTTTTCCGAAAATGAATCATTTTTTTTAGCTTTTAAACCTTTCCTGAACCTCCACGAACATTTAAAGACTTATATCAATAAAGGATAACTATTATTAATAAAATAACTTTAATATAAATAACGAATAAATCGGTACACTAAGTTATAAAGAGAATTATTATAATAATCGTGTAAGGACTCAGATCCTGATACGATTCACATTACTGACACGGAAGAGGTGATTATGAAGGTTAATGACTTTTAATATATAATTAACGTATAAATTACTTTTAATGAATCGCTTATTTTTGATAGCATTTAATAATATGTCGAGATGAAAATGATTGAATTTTATGACTGAGAAGAGCAATATAGTTTGCGACGCGGAAAAAATATATTTAAAATATTTGTGTAAACATTTCTATGGAATCAATAAGGTCTACTGCTGTATGAAAACTTTATTAATTGATTAAGATTTTTATAACAGCTGTATTTTTAAAATAATCATTAAAAATACAACATTCTATGACTTGTTATTCTACTTTTTATGAATAAACGAGGTAGCAATTTTTTTTAATATCCAAAAATTTATGTAATTTTTTTAACGAAAACAATAAAGTCAAAAATATTCAGGAAAATATTCATTCAAAAATTATTATTTGAGAGTAATATTAATTTCATCCACTAAAACAACATACAAAAAAATATTTATAGTAACTGCCATTGTTATTTTTGGTGGCAAAAATAGGTTTAAATTCTAGCCTTGACTCAACAAATCCTTATCTATCTTAGCCATACCGTTCTGTTATGAAGCATGAAGATTCAGAAAATATTCTGATTGAAGGAGGTTTATTGGAGTGAAAATCATGAGAGAAAAGGACTCACTGAAAATGATGGATGGTGTGAATAAGTTACTTTAGGCTACACACATACTGTATGTACATGTATATAGTCAGCTCGACCTTGGTAAGTTAGAATAAAAAAGTAACGAATAGTTTGTTAACTTAGTTTATTTATTTGTTTTATTCATCGATTTTAATCAAACTCACATTTTAATCGAAGGTTGTAATATGATTCAATTGATTTTTATAGGTTTCATTGTTGAATGTACTAACAAAATTGTGTTTATTTTCAGAATAAATATTTATTTTCAGAATAATATTACTATTTGAACAAAATTTCTAGTAAAAATAGTTTCTCTTATGTCAACAAATCAATTTAAGTGAAAACTTTAAAATTTTGAAAACATGATATAGTCTTAATATTTTATGTTAAAGAATCGGGCGAGAATTCTTTTTTAATAAAACACAAAAGTAAAAAATATGTTTAAAGCTACGAGAAAAGGTATAGAAATTTACACAATCGCAATGATTTTATACTGTTATTATACTGTATGTGAAATATCTTCTTATTTGGTAGTATTTTCAATTAAAGAAAAATTATCGGTGAATTAATTATTTTGGCACTAATGAAATTTAATTTAACACACACGACAAAACCACAATAATAAACATTTTGATAACTAGCTTACCTATAGGTGATATATGATTCAGAGAATTCAAATTTTTAACACTTGGGAATGCCATTTCTTTGCCGACTCGATATTATACCATAACTTATCACAACTTCTATATTTATATATATGATGAGGGAAATAGTCAATCTTCATAAGTCATAAAATATAACTTTAATTATGTAAATTCAAAATATGTATATACATATAAATTTACTTTTGTCTGTTTGAAGCTTGGCATTCCTAAAAGGTAAAATTTTCATACTGTTTGTTTTTCCACGAAAATCTTATTATTTAATAAAATGAAAATTTGTTCTACATCCCAATTTTCGCGAAATTCTGCAAAATATTTGTGTAATTTATTTTTAACTTTGATATAAATATATCTAAGTTAAATAAAGAATAATCCTGTTAAAAAAACAAAATACCTTGTTTGCAAACTATCTGATTTTCAAGTCTTGAAAGACGATGATATCAAATATTTCTGTGTTTATTAAGTTCTTAACAGTATAATAAACAAAAAATCTCAAGTGACTGTCCTTCTCACTGGCCTTTTATATTGTAATATCCACTTATACTTACAGTAGTAATTATATAAATAGTAAAATTTTCTTTTTGTTTCTTTTCATGAAACTCTTGTGTTTTCGAATTGATTATTGAACTTGTGGTATATTTTTTTATTTTCAATAATTATCTATATAATTATGTTCATATTGATATTCACCTATTAAGCGTTATAATTGTGTTAATACGTAAGTGTAATTAGATAGGAGAACGTCTTTTATATGTTCTCTATTAATGTCATTATATCAGTCTTATACTCACATTAAGATATATCGAAAAAATTAATGGACCTACAATAACGATATTATTAATTTAGAATTTATATTATAATATTGAGACATGTGTCAGTTGTAAGAAATTTAATATTCTTTAATATTAGTATTTCAAGATATATTTTTTTACATTTTCTACATTTATGGAAATCTTGATTTCATCAAATAATAACGGATATGAATAAATCCATCAAAGATGCTAAACATCATCATATTGATTGATACAATCTGAGATTCTTTTTGCGCTGTACAGAGACTTTGGAATGTTTAAAATGTCGTAAATGATATATTTAGACTGAGATTAATTTCTTTTTTTGGTTTAAATAGATTTTATTTTGAATACTATTCTTGTTTCATCTAAACCGGGACCTGAAAATATATTAAATAAGGAAGAACAATATAAATTGCACACGTAATTCCATATCAAACAATAAAATTTTATATCAGTAATGATATTACTTTAATAATATTATAGTGTTATTATTACTGTGGTAATTATTATCTGAGTTTACAATTATTATGGCTATACATTAATTGTAGTAATACCTATAATTACAGTCTTATTAATGCTAACTGCTCGACTACTTAAAACATATTTAATCAATTAGGAGGTAGTAAACACGAAGAGAGGCAAGATCTATTGTTGATCTTAATGGATCTGTATCGACTATTCTTATACCTATGTTTAATTTTGTCAAAAAGTCCAAGTCGATATTCGTCCACAAGTCTACTATAGAGTCCTTATATACAGCAGCTCTTGGCAAGTACCCATATGGGTGATGCTAATCTCAAGTATAGAGCTTTCAAAGTATAGATGCGAAAGTCCAAGGTCGAGTTTTGGGCGGAGAGAGTAGCCTAAGCAAACCACCAACCCTTCTTAATCTGTGTAGCAGTTCAAGAGCTGTTTGAACCAGGGCAGTCTTTAAGGGAACTTTTTGTCTCTAGACAGCTAATAGTGATTTTGGAATAAACTTATCAGGATTACGTCAGAGATATTATCTGCGCAGCTTCAAGATTTTTGAAGTAATTCAAAACTTCTTTCGAGTATTACGAGTATGCATAAAACAAACGTGAGTACGTAGTTAATCTCAGTATATTTACTAATGCTGCCACAAGTAATGTATTGTGTAATTCAGTCTACGGGTTCTGGGTTACGCGCAAGTATATCAAGTTTGGATGATACAGTGGTCGAATGAACCTAGAACCCAGTAATTTAGACATACAGGTTGAATATCTCTCCTGAAATGAAGTAGTGCGGTGAGCGTGATGAAGAATGAATCTTATGCGATCCTGAATATCTTGAATTGTTGTATTTGTTATTATTAATTGTTATTGTTCAGGAATGTATACGCTGTGACTAAGGCACTCTTAATAATTGACATTGAAATCTCCCAAAATCACTAACTCCGCAAGTCTTCTTGATCTAAGCCCCACACCTCTTCTCTACTAATGACTGTGGCATAATCAACGTTGATACCCCATATGCCAGCATACAAGAACTCCATGGGGAGCATTGAATACTACATGAATATAAAGAAAAGGCGGTTTCGCTGTGACTTACCCCGTTAAAAATTACCAATCACCTAACATTATTACGTACCTTGAATTCTTTAAATTAAATTTGAGTACAAATTCCCGCTACGTAAAATTTTATAATAAAATATATAATTTCAAAATATTCCATAAAATTATAAATAATAAAAAAAAAGAAGAAAATATTCTAATCGTTAAATTAAATTCTTCTATCCGTGTTTAATATCGTATAGGATCACGTATTGGTCACCCCTAATATTGTAGGGTTTCGGTTCGGCTTTTTAATAATAAGTTAAAAAAGGCGAGAAAAATGTTTAGGAGTCTTGACAAGGGTCAGTTTAGATATGTCAATGACATGAATTATGGACTTTTGTATTTAAAGTTTAACATCTTAAGTCTCTATGATAAGACTATAAAAGAAATATATTTTCTTCATATTTTGGCATGCTATATATTAATAGTTGTCTTCTGCATTTCAAATCATTAAAATAGCAGTAGGATAATAATGCTAGTAAAGTAGTAACAAAGAGTATTTAAGTATATAAAATATAGGCTTCCTCTTATTTTATAGCCATTCCTGTTTTGTAACAGAAGAAGTGGGCATTACTACTGTAATTTTAATTCTCTATATACATTTTTTTATATACAAATTGTACATGTTATATATATGATATCAATAGTCCCACAGGTCAAGTATCATAATTACGTGAAGCTGTTTTTACAGATTCTACGTATGAGAGTATTCATAGAAGGCTGTTATAATACTTAACACGAGGGCAAATAGTGGTTTTTTATTTTATATATTATCATATATACTTATATGTTTTCTATTTTCAACAATCGCTTTTTCCTAAATTTATATATTTTACTTTTATTACAAAACTTGATTTATCCATGCGTATAATTTAGTTTACATTTCAATAATCAAATACATTCATTCAAATAACTATTAGTAATTTAAACAATTTTAACAGTCAAATTAAGTTTTTGAAATATAATATACGAAAGAATAATATTGGGGCTATTGTTGCGGAAATCAAGTGAATAATAAAATAACCGTAATATCAAAAAAAATATCACATTATTTATTTACTATGAAAAGTGATAAAAGTTACAATACAAAAAGTTTATTTGGTATCGGAAGTCTAAGTTGTAAGACCTTTAAGAGTTTTACATAGATCTATTTTTAGGAATGTAAAAATCTCTTAGGACGTCATAAAGTCCGTAATGACAGTCTTTAAGAACATAGTTTTTCTCTTTCTTATAATCTAAAATAGGTCTCTTTAATGAAATCCTGCATTAAGTGAAAATTTTTTATTTGATTTTTTTTTTAATATTGGTCACTTTTATGAAAGGTCGATATAGCCAAACTACAGTTTCACACATGGGAATAATTAAATAATTTCCTAACTCTTTGTTGATTTGCTATGTTAGCATAGTACTTATCTATACTTCATATTCACCGTTAGGATTTCAATTTCAAACTTTTAATAGCTCGGTTGGTATGTTCAGAACTCGTCACTATACTCGTTTTTTTCAGTTCGATGAATGCTGGTGCGGACGTGTAAATGAGTTTTAAAAACAATTAGTGTTTTTAAACTAAATAAAGCTTGCAGAATCTATTTGAATCTGTACAATGTTTAGCTAGCTGTTTACACGAATTTTCTATTTATCTTTTGTTTTTAACAGTGAACTTACCTACGTCTTCAGTTAAGTTTCCCTTTTCCAATGCCTTTAAAGCTTTTGTAACTCTTGTCAGAAAAGTATATTATGGTTTTTTTTGTTTAGATTAATAAGCGATATAACATTTGTAAATAAATAAAATTTCAAAACTTGTTATCTACTGACACCATAAGTTTTAGAATTGTAGAGTTTAAAGGATTTTTAAAAATAGTTAATAGAGCGCTGACAAATAAATGAAAATATTGACTTTTATCAGATTACCAAAAGATTAAAGAAAAAACATTGTCATCGTACGAGATGTATTTCTCCTTCGGGCCCTGAATGAGATAAGATTAAGAAACATAAAATGAAATTGTTGGCCATCGCCCACCAGGATAGATTGTATTATAAGTTATTTTCCTCTAATACCCATTGGTTGACTGAGATGGTTTCATTGAGGCTATCGAAATAAGCTAACGATTTTACTGCTGGATATCCGAGATAGATCAATATGGTTCTTAAAATAAGCAAAAGTTATCACTGGACGGATGTAATGCACTGGCATCATCATAATTAATATTAGGTTTACGCTGAAAGGGTATTAAATATAGTGTCAAAAGTTGGTTATGTTATACAATACTTAGTCTTTAGATATCACCAATTTTGCTACCATATGTAGAAAATAAAGGTATTAACTTTATTAAGGTTAATTGCTCCCACAGATATATAACAGATATATAAGTATTCTATAAATAACCCTGAATATGTTAAAGATGTAATGGCAAACAATCTAATCTATCGTATACAGAATTAAATTTTCCAATTGTTTACCTTTTGCTGGTCCTAAAAAAGTACGAAGAAAAATATTAAAGCACTAACGACAGGCGTTATTTGTTTATATGTTTAATTATATCGATTGTTATATTATTTTACGACACCCGTAACTTGATAAATATTATTCACATATAAGCAGGCTGCAGGTCCAGGAAAGTGGCTTCTTTTACCACAAAAGGGTATATTGAATAAACAAACTTTGGACCCTGGTCTAGGTTCATATATTTAACAATTTCAACGTACAATCCTATTGAACCTGATTGGAAATATGATGTATTACAGCCCTATTTGAAGAAAATATTAGACAAAAGTATATTTTGATGTTAAGACACTACATACGTTACAGAGGAAGAGCTTTTTATTTTGATTATATTAAGTTACCGTGTGTAATGCAACACGAATGTAGTCAAACAGATTTGAGAATATATAAAGAAAATCTTTTTTTACAGGTCATTCTAATCTTCTTCTCAAGAATAAATTCAAGTTGAGATTTTGTTTGAAACCTGTGTTTTTCGTCGTCATCATCATCATCATCAGCTTATCGGTGCCTATTGCTAAGCAAGAGGCCTCTTCTCATATGAAGACGGTTAGAACATTAATCACCACGCTTGCTGTAGACAGTTTGACGATTCTAAAATTATAATTTGATATTTTCAAGTTTCCCCACGATGATTTCTTTCACCGTCGGTCAGTTTTTATATATTCTATTAAATACTACTTTGATTAGACCCCAAATTATCTATTTAGCGCATTTCAGGTGATTAGTTTGTTTGAACAGTACTTTCATTGTAAATTTATTTTTGTTGTATAAACAATTATTATCATTTAGGTCTTAGAAAACGATAATATTAAAAAAATATTTCTCTTTAAATGAAAGCTTTTTTTTCGAATTTAAGGTATATTTCTGTCGTGATTTTTTTCTTATTAGCTTAAATTTTCTCTATCTCATTACATTGTGTTATTCTTTTACAAGATGAGCATTTTTTAAGTATATTATTAAATATCATATAATGAATATTCTCTTGACTTTTTAATATTCTTACTTAATTAAATCTGGAATACACCAGTCGATACTCATAATTCTATGCAATAAATATTTTATATTATTTTGTGATTATCAATTAGTTCCCCTCTACCCGTTGTACTGAAATTAAAAACAATAATAATAAAACAATTAAAGATTTATATATGAGTTCCATAACCTTTTTGTATTTAATATTATAAATAGTATTTAAGGTAAGAATTATTTTAGAAGTATTCTGCATCTGATCTCGGTGAGACTATTATTCTTTTCTTAAAATTGTATTTTTTTAAATATTTATATTAACTAAACTATATAAGACACTTATGTGTTTTATAAGATACGTCAACTGTGATTCTGTTAAGAAAATTTTAATATATTTTTGATATTCTTCTGTGGTTGAGATTTAGAATTAAGTGAACAAATTTTATAATAACAACTAATCAACATGCTTACTGAAACAAAGACTTCTATACTATCACTTTTGCTTATCACTGGTTCTTTGTTTTTTATTGGATATGCAGGTAATAATTTTTAATAATTGTAAGTTTAGAAAATATTCTTATAGACACAAACGGAGTAATAATATATTTTACCATATTTTTAGGTGGTAGAGCCTAGCTGTGGTAAGCTACTACAGCTTGAACATGGGCAGGCTCGACCTGGGAAGTACCACCCTCTCACAGAAGATCGGCGTGAAGTAGCCTTTAATGGCTGCGTTTCGTCCGATAAGTGAGAGAGCCGGTTGCCCTTTTCCTAATTTCCACCCTTTCCTACCATTTCCTTATTCCCATCCCTTCCTATTCCTAAAAAACAAGGTTGGCAACGCATTCGCCACAAACATGTTGCGGATGTACATGGGCGGCGGTACTACCTTACACCAAGTAGGCTGTCTGCTCGTTTGCCACCTTTGACATAAAAAAAATATTAGTAGTACTTAAGTGAATAGTAAAAGTATATTTGAATGTTATTTTTCAAGAATTTTTTTAAATAACTTCCAACGATGGTACTTATAACTAACCAGAAAGTTCAATTTAAATGAATATAATTTGATTAAGACAAAGCTTAGAACCCATTTTTCTAATAATTATTTATTTACAGATTTGTCAAATTTAAATATAACACATTGTTGTTTTCGCTGTCTCTGTCACGTACATATATACCTATTGTACAATATCAAGTAAGTGCAGTGACGAATATTGTGGACCATTCAACATCTCAAAGTCTTACTGGATAGAAGCTGGTAATATAACCTTAGATGGAGAGGATCCCGATAGAAATGATGGTGCGTTAAACGAATATTATATTTTATAACTTGTTAATAATTAATTGATATTTTAATGAGTCTTCTTATTTAAATATTTCTTTCAGCTTGGAAGGATTGCGCTAATAACTACTTCTGCGCTCAGGATATAATGAAAGGCTATCTTCAGAAGTTTTAAAAGGTGACGTTGATTTAATTGT